CGGCAAGAGAGTTAATGCTTTCGCTTGACCGCTGCGACCGCTGCCATATTTATTAACTGCAGCATTCGTGGCAATTGCGTCCTCTCGCGTACGACATGCCTGTCGCTTTTTCCTTCTCGCAGCGCTGTGTCCCAGCGACGCACTACTGTCTACCGCACAAGAAAATTTTAGTGTGTTCCGTGGTGCTTTTTGCTTTTCCCCACTAACATTCCTCTTCGCACTTCTCGATCGATTTTCAAACAACATAACGCACGAATTCGATCGTGACCAGTGCCTTTAGGAGCCAAGCTAGCGTCTTCAGCATCCTGACCCTATTAGTTTTAAGAAAGTCAGAGATAACGCTTTCAGTGCGTTCTTGGAGACAAGTATGGCACAGTTGGACCTCCTGTCAGGATTCCGAAAGGCGAGTTCGAAACGATTCGAGCAGCAGTATTCGAGCAAAGTGCCGGTGAGTTCCAGGAAGTGTTCTAATAGAACATCATACGGGAGAAATGGTTCCACCAGTGTTGCTTTTGTTTTCAGATTTGAAGCTTCTCGACCAGCACTACGTGTTGGACCGAAGTAGCGAAGAAGAGGAGTACCGGCTGAACACGTACTTGGAGGACGAGAAACAGCGGGCGAAACTCTCCAAAGTGGTGCAGAAAGGAGCACAAAGTGTAAGTGCATTGATACGGATGGAGATTGCTGCAATATGCCACGTTATCCCTCCCCCCCCCCCAATAAGGGAAGGAGGAAGGGTGCCGCATTAGTATGGAACTGAGGAAAATGGGTGCGAAAGACATGAGGCGAGCCTATTTGGATAACCGGGGTCTCGTCTGTTCTTGGGACTCCAGTCGTGGAATCAAATCTGTCTCAAATTCAAGGGTTTTTTGTCATGGGTCGGCCGTTTGGAGTTTTCGGAGGTAGTTCCGTTAACCAAGCTCTTAGTTCCGTTGACCCAGCTCTTTTTCCCATTTTGGCAGACGTTTCTTCTCATATCAGCCCTATTCCGAAGACTCTTCAGGCGTTCGATGGCAGCCAGCTGACCGTCGACCGACAGCGCCGGTTTTTCTGGTCCTCTCTGCACAAGATTGCTGCTGTCGCATTGGAGCGCAACTGTCGCTGTACGGTGGTACTGCGGAAGTTTGACGGTGAGTGAGACAGGTGGAGCGAGTTGGGGGGGGGAGGACAGTATATTGCAACTATTTTTAACCGCGGTTTACTAGCACCAATTCCATGTTTTGCAAGCCTCTGGAGCCCGGAGCCGACACCTCTTAAAAACCGGAGCTACCTCCACATACTTCTAAATAGCTTGCTTTGCAGGGTAAGCCCGGAACTGGTGTGTCAAATGCGACGTACTGCGCGAAGGCGGCCGCGAAATCGCCGAGAAGATTCGGGCGCGTGAAAACCAGATCTTCCGAAAAGTCCGACCAACAAACTCTTCCTTCGCCAACATCCTCCGCCCGGAAACAGAGACATTGGCGGTTTCTCACCCTCGCGACTGCCGACAAGTACCGGAACCTCTGCAAGCGGCAGTTAATGCGCATTATGCGCAACTTTGTGTCGTATTAACCCCTGTCTAACGGAGGAAGGGCTGTTTTAAAGGAATCCTGCGCGGAAAAATCATGATTCTATTTCAGCCATAAATCACTGGCTTGAGACTCATTATCCACGATAATAGTGAAAAGAACTGAAGTATTGCTTTCGTTTTGATTAGAAATTCGAAAACTCGAAAAGGCTGCTACGCGTTCGAATTGCCCACGGACGTCGTCTTTCACGAATGCTGGCGACGGGGATGCTCAAACTTGGTTCTTGGAGTGCATTCACTAGAAGCTCTTTCTGGCCTTCTGCTTCGTTGCATTCACATCTTACACTTCTACTCCATCCTATTCCATCGATCGATTTGTCTCCACTCTCCGAAATCGCGCGCTTTAACCCGATTCTCTCATTGCGTCGCCTGGTACGTAGCCGGCCAAACGCCGTCTTCTTTCCATGCCTCGCCTGGCTCTGCCTCCTGGTCCTTCGATGGTCCATAACGTGTAGTTTTTGTACGTTTGTTTCTCTTCAGAAACCGAATCTTCATGCGTGAAACTTTGTGTGCTATTTCCAGTGATCACAACTGACATATTCATGTTAGGAAAGAGTGCAAGAATTTTCCGCGCAAGATTCCTTTAAGGACCGGGAGGGCAGTACATATCGATGAACATGAGCGTCACCGTATCATTGAAACCTTTTGCGTCCCAATCAGCTTGAAATGGAAAAAATGTCAATGGGTGGCTACGGAGCCCTGCTCGTAATTCGAAATTCCGATTTCCCGAACGGATGGGCTGACCACAACAGAGGACCACATCAATACTCCCCGATTCCGATCTTTTTTGCCACTATTCCAAGAGTGGTTGGTTTGAGGAATCCCATGTTCGACAACAGACGAGAGTAACATAATGCAGTTAGTGACCACAAATTCGGACCACATATCTTGCCATTTTCGGGAAATCAAATCGATATACTCGGGGTGAGATTTTCGACACGTTCATTTCAGAGCTTTAAAATATTTATAGCCAAGCTTCGACGCTCACCTCCTAACTGGGGTTCTATTCTCGCGCTAAATCTGCTTGCCTCTCTTCCTATCAGCGACGACTTTCGCTTCTGGGCGTTCTCAATTTTCTTTCAGTCATACGAACGGCAACGGCCATCCTAAAAAATTTCTCCGAATCCGTAAATAAAATTGTTTGTGGGTTATATAAACTGATACGTTAATGTACTTAGATATTGGAGCGACTCAAAACCACACCTGTCCTCTTCACCCATCGCGTGCCGACCCGTCATGTTCACACCCCGGCGGGATACGCAATAGACGAGACGCGACGCCCCAACATCCGTGAGGGGTAACATAACACTTTCCTCAACAGAACCTTACCCTTACCGCGTAACCTTTCAGGCTTTCATGCGGAACGTTCCAGACGGCCGTGGTATGTGCGCAACGAAGTGGACTCAAGGCTGAATGTGAGCAGGTTCATGAAAATATGTCTGAATTCCGTTCAGTAGTTCCTTTCGGAGCCTGCTTGCCGCTGCCAACACCTGGAGGAGTGTTTCTTCTGCAAGGGCCGGAGCTGTGTGGAAAAACTCAGGCGCTTTGTCGTCTCTACGACCAGGCCCCAGCAACGGTTTTCAAAATCATCAGGTACGGGCACCTTTTCTCTGCAATTCCGACGAAATGTCCAGTTTCTCGGAAAATCCTAAGCCTCTTCGCGAAAAATCGCCCAGCCCATCGTAGATCGGCAAGTGTACTGCGAAAGAGACTGCCGCGCAGCCGCGAAGACGGGCCCTATTTCCAGTGCTGCAAAATCGAGAGCGCATGGCCTTATATGGGGCAACCGGTGAGTGTCGCGACGCTGCGTCCCATCGAATTACTTACGGAAACTTCCCCCTCATAGTCTTTTTATCACCTCATGCATCGAATGCATCAGGAAGGGGAACAGTCATCAAGGGTTATTGCCTACCTCTGTGCTCATTCCCCAGGAACTGTACTGTGAACGAGAATATCCAAAATAGACAGTACTTTTTGGGTATCAATTTATCTGAGACCCTGTGTCGTTTACTAAGATGTCTTGTTCCATAACATAGCTGTCTCTGTAGTTTCTCTGATGAGAGCTTTCTACGTTGGGCTGCACCAGCGCCAAAGTGTTATGGAGAGGGAAGTTGGAAAGGTATGAATAACGTGCGACTATTCGACGGACAGTTAATGAGTCAGCACAGCCGAAGAAGACAGCTTGAAGAATTTGCCTTGGTCATGATCGTCCGTAGTGTTTCCCCGTGCGGATGACTGAAAGAAGGCCGAAGAGAGCGCCCTGGATCGTTGGTACCTTTTGCAAAATTTTACGACCCCCCTCCTTCACGAGAAGTTTCATAGTACGACCCCCTCTTCACAAGCTACTTTTTCCCTCAAAAAACACCGTCGAGCGGGTATGTACCAACCATGAAACCCTGCAAATTTTCTCCAGCGCGCTCTCATCTCATCACATGTTTCGTGCTACCTACGACCCCCCCCCCAAGTCCATCCAAGTACGACCCCCCGTTGCTACTTGTAGCAACGTAGGGTCGTTGCCCACCACATTTGAAGTAGCGCCGCTTTCACCAACAAGTTCGCGAACCGATATTTGGATTCGCCTTTGTCCCTGGCCATCCTCATCCTCCTGCTCAAGAACGCCTAATCCTCATTTGACTGGCCGTCCTACGGCCCGTGGCTTGACAATCATTCCCCACCTCCAAGTCCATCCAAGTACGACCACCCCCGTTGCTACTTGTAGCAACGTAGGGTTGACCCTGATTTGAAGGTCGCGCGGCTTTCACCAACAAGTTCGCGACCATATTTTGGATTCGCCTTTTGTCCTGGCTCATCCCGATCCTCTCAAAGCGCCTCAGCCTCATTTGCCTGACCATTTTTTAGGGTCGTGGTTTTGACATGCATTCTACCTCCCACTTCTCAAACTCGACTCTTTTCAGATTTATTGACCTCACTTACTCGTCCGTTTTCGCCCATGAAGTTTGGCGACAAATCAACTTGGAGCTGTGCGCTTTGACTGCGAAGGATCCTCGACCGGTCATCAGTGTTGGTGATAAAGCACTGGCTTTGGCACAGGAACGTCCACATTTTGAGCAAAGGGGTTTCAATTTCAGGCGTTCAAATTCAAGGAACAGCTCAAGATTTTCGATGAGATGTTGGCGACCCTCGACGGGATGCTGTACCTGTTTCTGGACGATGTGCACCTGCTCAAATATGGCCCTTTCATGAGTACCATCGAGAAACGACTGCAAAAGGTGGGCCTGCGTCGCTGAGTGTCGCCATCTGCAGTACGTCGTTTCGAACTATTCCAGCTGATTTCAGGCTCCTTCCACGCTCGCTGTGTTCATGACCGCTTCAAATGTTTCACCCATTTCGTCCACCTACACCATCACCCAAACGCTGAATCTCGATGTGCCATCCGACGACGACATCATTGAGATCCTCAAGCGGTCCGTGGTCGGCAGAAAAGTCAACAGCGCTCAGTGGTCGACAATCAAGCAGCAGGTTTGAAAGCTTCTTCCTTACCACTTCTGCTTCATTCCATTCATCTAATAAGCATGAGCAGGAATTTTCTGGAGGTCAGCGGGGCATTAACCACCACCCAGTTGTAACAATTCACCATTACCTAAATTTGGTCAAAAGGTGAGAGCCACTCGGCCTTTGAAGACTCTCCGTGTAGCCAGCTATAGTACTCCGGAAATATATCATTCCATATAAAGTGACGTAATTGCTGTGGGAGGGTCAAGACGGGCGAGATGGTGGGGCCAGGATGTCTGGTTATCCCTCCACGTCTTCTTTCAATAACTGGAGCTTTATTTCAGCTCACCGGGAGCAATCGCAGCATTCTCGTCGGTCAGGTCCTGCTCGACCAAGTGCTACAGCGGAAGAATGGCGTCATGAGTGGCGGCATCCAAGGTGAGCCCTCGCAACTCGCCTGGCAGGCTCTCAATCCTCCCACTTTCAGGTCGACTCGAACGGATCGAAGCCGAGCTGGGTGCGCTGTCTGTGCAGAGTTTGTGCTCGTTCATCGTGCTGGCCCCACACGGCCTCACTCGACTCGAGCTGTTCGACCTGCTCTCCAATAAGGTCGACCTCATCGCCAGGCTGGGCGCTGTGGTGGCGTTTCCGTCGCTTCTCCTGGATAGAATAGTTGAATCTCTTGGTATTTAAGCAGTTCATATCAATCGCTTCACTATCATGATACTCTCCGTTACTAGCAAATTCGTATTTTTCTTCTCGTCAGGTAGCCTGTTGGTAAAGAATTATGTCGACCGACGCATAGTGTATCGACTCAGCCACCATTGCCTTGTTGGGATATTCCGAGCCAGGTTGGGGTCAACTCGAACTCCTTTTCGGACCTTGAGACGAGCCGCAGTCACCACTTTCAAGCCAGCTTTCAGGTATTTCTCAACGTTGCTTGATCTCAAAATAACGCATAGTGAAATCGCCGACTACTTCGGTTGCGCCTCGCCCGTCGACGAAAACATATCGCCTCGAAAGGCAATCTCTTATCAGGTTACTTTTTCTTCTTTACCCCTTTCGTTCTTCTTTCAGCACTTACCCCCCCCCGGGTGGAGGGCCCCGGTGGGGGGCCCCGCCTTCTGTTACGTTGACGCCACTTTTCCCTATTGAATGCCTGATCGGGATGGATACCAACTAACTTTAAGTCCATATGCAATGTATCAAGCCATCGCTGCTTTGGACACCCTTGGGGCGCTTCTCGGGCACGTAAAGGTCGAGGGCGATTTCACAGACACTGTCATCACCTCTTCGATAATATCAATTTACTTTTTGGAGCAGGAGTAAGTCCCACTTTATATGGAAAGCCCCGCCCTTCTTGCCTCATCTGGATGGAACCCAATCGAAATCGTCAGCAAAAAGCATAGGTGGGATTTCAGCGAATCAGTCCATGTGAAGGCAGAATCATAAGCAAGAGTCCACTAGCGCTTGGAGGTATTACTCCATAACTCCAATATTGTCTCACGCATAGGCGACTAAACCTAGAAGCCTTGGAGGGTGCACGCTCATCGCCCGGTGTTGCCCACTGCTGACGACCAACAACCTGCAATTCAAACTCACCACAAGGCAAGTGTCAGCTGGCGACCAGTCGCGCGACTCGCTAGCGAATGGTCGCAAGGTCTGACACCTGCCTAAGAACGGTCGACATTGAAAACCTCTGAATGATGTTCCTCTTTTTCAAGGTCTTCCTCAGGCAAATTGAATCGTGAGAATGGTGCATGCAATATCAGACGGTTACATAATCTCTGGTTTCACTTACTTCATACAGGTACGTTGGAACGAACCCTCAGGTTTATACAGTTTCTTGGCTTGCTCTTACGCTGACCTATCGAAGGTCATTGCGGAAAAGAGTTTTCTGACTTTGCTCCTACCAGTACTGCCAACAAAGCCTTAGCGTTGCGGAGGAAAAGATCAGGCTACTTGAAGGAAGTTGCCAACAGAGGGCGGGGGGGAGATTGTATTTGGAAAAAAAAGCCGACAGGAGAGTCGTATCCGAAGGGCATTCTTGGGATATTTCGAAGTGGATGAAATGGACGAAAATCGTGAAGAGTTTTTGCTTCTGACCTCCGTATACCCTCTCGTCGGTCCGCATGACGTCTGAGATTTGGGGGCGGAGTAGGTGTGTCAAGTGGTAGCATTTTCACGACAGTGTTGACACCACCGACCATTGGAGGATTGGGAGAGGGTTACCTGATTAATACCCGTAAATATGACGAATATTCTTATTTGCTTTCGCCGAATCAAAGGTAATTTTGACTTGTAGCCGTTCAGCGAGAGTTTACAACGCTTCTGGCAACTAATAAGGGTGTGAGGTAGATGAGAATAAGCAATATTATTTGTGTGGTGGCTCGACTAACACGCTTCGAAGGAAATAAAGAAAGCAGAGCAGTTCTGTAATAATGGTTGCACGTTGAAAGTCCAGGTAGCACTACGAGCGCTTGAATCCCTAAGCCTGCGGGCTTAAGTCAGTCCCTGAGACCTTTCGCCAGCGCTTGTGAACTTTCAAAAATGAATGTACTATTTTTATCTGATTATGTTAAGGTAATATGGATGCCCTTAAAGACATGGCGTTGTGCCAATTCGACTTTATTGACAGCGCGGTTCGTACTTGCTCAATGGTTCACCTTTTATCGATGTACGAGGAATGCGCCATGCAAGTCCTCACCATGATATCAGCGTGAGGTTGTGGAATGACAGTCAGGTAGTGATCCAAGCGAGACAATAACTCGCGCGTTCCAGTATTGTGCGAGCAGGTGCTGATTCCTGCGATCCCGACGGTTCTGAGGGATCGCGAGCAGCTCGCGGCTGAGGTGATTGGAAGGTTACGGTACACCAGAGGTTCGCCCTCGCTTGACACCTCTTAAGCTTTGGAGTTTTGAATGTAATCGCTGTTGTTGCAGCCGAGAACAGCCACTTTCTGAACACTTTGGTGGAGCAGGCAATGACCTGGGTGGACAACTACAACCGACAGCCGCTGCTCGTGCCGCTCTCGTGCTGGATCGCCCCGCCTCAGATGAAAACTTGCCGGACATTCACCATCAAGGTGGGGCAATGCAGTCAGCTCACGATCACCTGGTCGACTGAATCGAAACGAGAAGAGCGGTTCTCAAGGGCTTTATGTGATATTAGTTCTGATTTTGTGGTCACTTCCACCCGTTGCAGGACTGGAAAGCAGGCCAGACTGTGCTGCGCGCCGACGTTCAACCACCAGCACGTCCTCATCTCAGGGAATCAGTCCGCTGTCGGCGTCATCTACATGTATCACATCGCCGCGCAGTCTCTGATGACCACATTTAATGGTGAGTGCTCGAAGATGCGAGCTTTCAAGGCCATCTCTGCCCCTCAATTGAGCGCAGTCCCAATTTTCGACTATCAGCTCACCGAAACAGTAGATGTTTCCTCAAAGCTACTCTGGTACCCGACACGAAGCTGTCGCTTAGCGAGAAGGCAGAGACGCAGATGGGTCAGCGAACGATTTCCAGCGCGAATCGTACTCCGTGGGGCATTACTATAGCACATTCGGATTTAACTTGACGCTAAATTGCTACAGTACGCGCTGCGACTCGCCCGCTGACCCGCCTGCGTCTCTGCCCTTTCGCCGCACGACAGACCTCCTGTCGTGTACCCTCGTTTCTCCATCACTTCTGCTGTTTCTAAAAAGATAGTGCTGGGTCCTTCGTGAACATCTCGCCGATTTCCAGCGAAGTTGTTCTCCGATACGAGGCTGTCCTCCCCCCCCTCTCCAAAGCTATGTCATTCAAAGTTCTAATAGAACACCAAACTGCAAACTTACAGGCCACACCGGGAACGTGACTTCCCTGTCGTGCAGCACCAGCGGCACGTTCTTCGTCAGCACCTCCACTGACAAGTCCGTTCGGATATGGAGCCTCATCAGCGTGAGTTCAGGCGACTGATTCTTAATATTATAAGGTCACTCCGATTTATTCGGTGCCTCACTAAAGTGAGCACAATTGAGGGCGGAATGGCAGATTTTCTTCACTGGGATGGTTTTCAGGGCGAATGCATGAAGGATGCTCACACCGCACTCGCACAAAATCATCTGCTGTGTGCTGGCCAGCGACGACACGTTTCTGGTGACCGGTTCGGCCGACTCCTCAGCCAAGGTAAGCGTGTCGCCCTTCTGGGAGGTGAACCCGAGCCCGGACTGATAAGCCCAGCGTTTTTAGATGATTGATCTCGAGAGCGGCGAAGTACTGAAGTCGTTCACGGAGCACACCGGCAGCGTCGTCTCCCTTCAGCTCACTGTCAATAATGAATTTCTGATCACAGGTAAGGCAATTCTGCCCAATTTCTGGTGAATTTTGTGCATTCTCACCCACAAGGCAGAACGCTTGGGCTGGCCGTGGAGAGCTTTGCTTTGCGGCATTGCTGTCTTCTTGAAGAACATCCACAGAAAATCCCTCCCTGACGAAGATACCTACAATCAAAATTCTATATATTCCCGAGCGAAGCATGATGAGGCAGAAGTTCTTACCGTGCGTCGATTTCAGAGCCGTGGCGCGGCCGCTCGGGTCGGACTCTGGGATGGTTTCTCATTTAGCCAGGATGTCACACTATTTTAGTAGAGCTTATCAATCTATAAGAAATTACATGGCCAACCGAAGCATCCAAAATTTCGCTCTTTCGCTGATTTCGCTGCACTCTTCCAGGATCTGGTGACTTCATCGTGCAAATGTGGTCACTCGAGACGGGTCGCTGCATATCACGAATGGGAGGCCTCATGGCCCCAGTCAGTTGCATTGCCATCACTTCGTGAGTTCTCGGTTCAGAATTTGAGTATTCCTTCTATTTCGGTACTCATCCAGTTCTCTTCAGGAATGACGCCTTTGTTATCGTCGCTTGCGAGGACGAGACGCTGCGAGTTTTCTCAACAGTTGCTGCCCAGGAGCTGCACGAGCTGATGGGACACGAAGGACGGGTTCGTTGAACTTGTGACCTGTGCCGCGTATCTTTGAGCATTAGTGAGGGTAAGGCGCCGAGCAGTGGGGACGAGCGCCACACCTCCATAGACCTAACTCGCTTCGCTCGGCGTCGCGGTCCCTCTGAAGAGTTAACTATCTGAGGGGTAGTGTAGTAAGTGCCTAGACAATGACACTTCCTAAAATAACAATCAGTGGGATGACTTGGGCTGAACAATAGCATGAAACCCCAAGAATGGACCTCCCATCTGCTCATGCATTTAGCATATGGCGTTTTCCAACGCAAATACATCTACAAACGCGTACAACGCGCTTCTCGAGGCCACCCAGTGCGAGTGGCTTCAGGTGTTAAGCCTCGAATGTGCCCTGTTTTCAGGTGAACGCGTTGGCCTGCGCTCAGGACGACTGCCAGCTGTTCGCGGCCACGAAGTCCATCGTCTACTGCTACGACATCCACAATGGCCAAATCGTGGACGTGCTCGACTGTCAGCTTCCGTTTGCCGTCTTCAACATCAAGGTGATCTTCTTTCAAGTGTAAAAGTGTGCTCACGAAACATTCGAGTGGGGGGGAAGCGTTTGGACAAATTTGTTTCTTCTCACGATCCCTCCTCGAATAATCTTTTCTTCAGATCTCGTCGACAATTTTGTTCCTCTTCTCGGTGTGGTCCACGAGTAGATGTGTGGCACATCCAGAAGCGCGTTCACGACGCCCCAGACGCCTCCGGGCACATGGGATTCGTGACGGCCATCGCGCTGAGTGGGACGACAAGGTATGTCTTCTACCCGGTCGCCTAGGGATAACATGATCGCAGCGGGCTATTTCAGATCGCCGCCTGTGGCACGTACGAATGGCGTCCCGTGGCCGTCTGGGACCTCGACATCTGCCAGTGTTTGTCAACGGTACGTTCACGCAGGGTATTCTTCGTCTTTAGAGGAAAGCCTCGTTTGGGCAAGCCAAGGCTTCCCCCGATGTGGCCTTCAACTTTCGTTTCCCGTCGTGCTTTTTTCAGTCTTTTATTCAGGTTCCACAAAGCAAGGGTATCCCGGTGTCCTGTCTGGCATTCTCCTTCAACCAGACGTTTCTGCTCAGTGGCAACACAATCGGCAGCGTCAGCGTGTTCGACTGCTCCTCGGGCACCTTGCACCGAACATTCAGTGTACGTCAGCATTACTGCGATTGCGACCCTCCCGGGAGGGCGAATCTCCACAGACGAAATCTGTGGACGGTCGCTGTCACCTGTGATCCCGTATGACTTTTGGAACAGCCTTGTTACTCGGGTGTGTCATTACATCTGAAAAGCAAACCCGAGTGCAAAACGCGTCACTTTGCACCGCGGGTCACGGTAACAGCGCGCGGTGATTCGCGTTGCGCTCTCGGAGACGACAATTATCTCCCTCTCCCTTCCTTTGTGAGAACAGGGGCGGGGTATCGTTATTTACGAAAAGCCTAAGAAAATTTATGGGAAGTAATCAGAAAGGGATGAGAACTGAACAGTATAATCATAATGTCTGTTTTCAAAGGCCAGATGCGCGTCGAGTGCAGACAACACACCACAAGTGACGACTCCAAGTAAATCTGGTTACTAGTGGTTCATAGTGATAGCTGATAGTTGGTAAATGATAGTTGTAATTAGTGACAACTGATAGAATACAACTGCAACAGGCTAATCATTTCATTGGCAGAAAACATTTACATTTTGTCGTCACTTGTGGTGTGTGGTCTGCACTCGACGCGCATCTGGTTTTCGGAAGCAGAGGATACATCAGGATCACCTATAAACATCATAGAGTAGAAGAAATTATTGTTCCAGCTGCATTCCACGGAGATCGTGTCGATTTGTCCGCTGGAGAACTACCGGGTGTTCAGTTGCGACAAGGAGGGCAAACTCTGTCAGTGGGAGATTTTCGGCGACGAGGAGAGCATGGTGAGAACTTTTGTCCACTGTTCACTAAGATGGATCAGTGCGCTAGCAAATGGAATCGGAACTGTTTCTGTGGAAATAACGTTGGTCGCCGCTTGCAAGATGTCGCGCACGCGCTTAGCTTCGGCCCAGAATCAGTCAAAGGAATGTTTCACACCCTCTCGATCTTTCAGTGTCGTCAGTATTTTTTGAACAGGCCGTCCTGCGCCACGAAAATAGAGCATTCTAGCCATTGATGGCAAAGATTGGAGTCGTGGGGGCCTATTTAAGTGATCGGATTGTGTATAAAGGTATGTGTGATAATGATTTGTTGTGACTAAGGAAGCGCGAAGATACAGCATCTTACCCAATACCCATCCAGTTTCTTGCTCTTGGCCAATGGTTCTCTCACCCTGGATATCCACGCTCTTATCCTCATCCTTACCGAAGGAACACAATGGAGTGGCCCCTCCAACTCTATTTTCACCGCAGCATATGAAACAAAGAACAAAATACGTAAAGATGCTGACTGAAAATTAGGGGATTTGAAGGTGCGGAAATCGCGAGAGGGACACGCTCGCAGGCTAAAGCTGGGCAGCTGAAGTGGTCTAGAACCACAAATTATTGCATTTCCATTACCTCCGTTAGTTCAGGTGATGAACGCAGGGATGCGCCGCCGATTTTCGCGCCACCCAATGGCAAACTGGTGGTTGGCCACTGTCCGAAGAATTCCAAAGAGTAGGAACTTCCCAGATCGTCTCTGATGAAGAGAGAGAACAGAAGTTTGCATTTGCAGAATGAAAGTGGACTGTTGGAGAGGAAAGGACGCGGTAGTGAAGAACAAGCTGTCGCACAACGAGGAGATCACCTGCTTTGCTGCGATCGCGCTGGGGACGCTCGTTGCCACTGGTCCGCTCAGACTTCTATATTTTTAGACTGAAGATAGGTCCCATGGCAAAACATGCTCATTTCACTATTCAGGCTCGAGCGACCAATCGTGCAAGCTGTGGCAAATCGATTCCGGCTATCTCACACAGGTAACTTTTCTGGCAGTATTCAACCCCAAAGATAGGATTTGCTATCATCGAACACTTTGAGGTACTTGTCGGCCACGAAGGAAGGGTGACCTGTGTGGCGCTGGCGGACGACGAACGCCTCGTCATTTCCGGAGCTGAGGACAAAAAGGTTCGTTGTTGTGAGTAGTGTAATTCGTGCAGGAAACGAAGACGTGGCGCATCCGCGTTGGACGTGAAGTCTTTAAGCTCTATGACAACCCCCACTTGCAGGTCATCGTTTGGAATGTCAGCACTGGAGACATTGCGCATTCCCTCGTCTGTACAGCACCGCTCACGGCAGTCTCGCTGTCCTCCGACGGTTGCGTGGCCTTCTCCGGTAGGACCACACTTTTTATTGGTTCTCAGTTGTATTACCGCGGGTAAACAGATCTCAAATTCAATTTTGTAGCGAGCGAAGACGGCTGGTTGGAGAGTTGGTCGACTGAAAAAGGCAATCTGCTGTCATCGTTCAACGCTCATCGGCCCATTCGTCAAGTCCTCAACTCCCTCGACGCAAACAGGTCAGTAGGTTCAAGAATTACGCGCAGACTGTGAATCGAAAAGTCGAGAACTACCGATCAGGAGGGATCAAATGCCCATTTGCAATGAGATGTACGCAGCTGCGGTCTTTGAAACGACGATCTCAAATCTGTCTCCGCTGAAAGACTTTCTCAAGGGAGTGACGGAGGCTTTTTAATCGTCGCCCTTTCGCCTAGAATAGCATAAAAAGCCCTTGTTGTTAGAGCACGATGGGCTTGAGATTAGCGCTGTAACACCGCAGTTGGCAGCGGTCCGAGCTTACTTGAGGTATGAAGACACGGGGTGCAGCTTCTAAGAAGTTTAGGCACATTTGCCCAAGAGTGTCTATAATGCCCATGCGCTTGCACTGTGGTGAGAGCGCTATGTGGAGCCAAGGAAGCAGGGCATAGCATTTCTAGAAGCTGCTCACAACGCTTTGAACAGGTAACAATAGGCAAGCGTTGTTAAAGTAGAGAAACCAGAATAAAGAAAGCTCACCAAGTAGTAGATCTCACGATCGCCTGCCTGTCAGCTGAGACCAATGTCGTTTCCTTTTCATAAGCCCGTTCAAAGGGTAGTTTGGCAGTTTTTGAGGACAGATTGGAGATCAGCGTTTCAATGCGAGTGCAACAAGCTACATTTCATGGGAAATGGCCGGCTTAATCTGCCGACCTTCCCTCATGAGCACAACTAGCTCATTTTCAAATAATCGGTAAAACGAAGGATTCCGGGTGAGAGGCGAGTCTGCGAAAAGACCAACAAGGAGCGAGGAAAGACGCGAAAACACGCAGGCGAGCATCCCCGCGCCGACGATCCGTTTGACGGCGGGGTAACTGATCCTTAGAAGTACAATTATGGCGCTTACAGCTTGGCGCTACACGTCACTTCCACTTAGGCGCCCCGTTTCCCTTTTTCACTACGTGAGTTTGACCTAATTGCACCCCCAAAAAATTATTACTACCCTTGAGTCTGGGAGAACTTCCCAAATCAGTGATTTGATCTGCTTCCTTGTCGAAACCTTAAAAGAAGGATAACTCTGTCGAATGCCGTAGCATAAAAAACAAGAAACCGAACATCCTCTGTCTTCCAACAAGCCCATCACTTGGGATCTCCAACGGCAGTGTGCTTGCC